GGCCCGGCCTGATCTATGAGAGAGCGGAGTGGGATCCTCGCGCAACCAACTTCCACACTTTATTAGAATATGTTTGTCCTTCCAACACTGACCTTATTCCCGGCCTTAATTAAACGCTCCCTTAATGACCTCCCTGTTGAAGCAGAGCTTTGCAGACTTGTAGTGCAGAGGTACACAAGCGTTCCCGCCACTGCCTGCAGTGTTACGTATGCAAACTCTACACACTGCAATGCAAAAAAAAGTTTTATTTCAAAGGCGATGTGCGATAACTGATTTTTCTGGACGATAAATTGTTCCAGAAGTGATTGCGATAAACGATAATATTGTTTTGAGACCATTTTTAAGCAATATGGTACAAAGGCAAGATAATAATGGAGGAGCACATTCTAAGAGAATTTAAAGTAATTTAAAGTAAACTTTAAATTCTTAATGAATATTTAACTCTGGAGCTGCAAGACATTTTAAATATGCAAAATAAATAAACAAAACAACAAATAAAAAGAATTTTTAAGTCTTTGTAAACTAAATTGTCCTTCAAAAAAGGTTTAGTTGAGACCAAAGCACCAAACTGAAGACTTTTATCATCCAGCTTTTGCTGGAAAGAGAGAAAAAACTATTTTTCTCTCTTTCCAGCAAAAGCTGGATAAATTATGCCAACGGAAATTACTGAGTTTGTTTTAATTTATCATGCGATTAATTGATTTATTGATTATTATGACAGGCCTACGCATATTAAAATGAACACAATGCATTGCAAATGTTGGTGGTAATAATAATATTGCACATTACAAGAGTAAATGTCAATAAGTGTTCTTTTGGGCGAGTGTGCGGTGAGGGAGGAACCAACAAAATGTGGTGCATAATTGAGGAATGAGGGGAAATTGATAATTAATCAAAATATTATAGCACAACATGTTACAGGTTCGCGACTTTTGGGAAATGTCAATGCCAGCTTTACATATCCTGAGATTCATGTTTATGCCCAATTTTTATTGCGAAACAGCTGACTTTAGAATATTTTGCCTTCATTTAATTAAATATCGTGATTTTGAATGGGACATTTGAATGGGCAGATGTATATGCTTTGGCATAGACAAAGCACGCTGACATGCTTGCAGAGTATTTAAGCTGTGGATGTGTGTTTAGTGTTGCTGTCCTGATGGAAGAAGAATCTCCAAACCACAACCCACAATCATCCAGGGCTGGCCTGCAGCAAACTCCTTTCATCTCCCTATTATTTCTGAATGGTTTCCCTGTTAATGTTTAAAATAAGTTGTGTTTGGTCTAAATCTTCCAACTAGCTCTGACTGTATGTTTGGTGATGTTGCTCTGGTGTAAAGCAGTCAAATTTTGACAGATGAACTCCATTCTTCTTTGCATCAACTTTGACCATCTTACCTCTAACTGTTGAAAGTAGGCATTCCCACAGCATAATCGTCCCACTACCATGCTTTAACGTTGAAATTAAATGGCACTCAGTTGGTTGCTTAAGGCAATTTGCTGCACCGGATTTTACTTGGGACATAAGGCACCATAGGAAAAGTCTGAATTTACAAGAATTCAAATAGGAAGTTGCCTAAAAACATACTAATCACATGTGAGATGGCACCGTGGCTGCAGCGAAAGTGTTTGAATAAAAGCCACACACTTGTTCTAAACTGCTTGTGTATAATTGCATTGCAAATGAGTTAGGACTGCCAGAGTCACCGTGGAGACTTTTTATATCAACCACAAAATCCATCTGATTAAAAGAAGTTGTGCAAATGTGCAAATCTGCAAGCGCAGGAAATTGGGGGCGGAGGGAGAAGTATGGGACTCCATGAGATTTTTAACCTGCTAATTCAATAGTCAGAAGTTAAGATTTAGGAGCTGCAGAGAAGTAAGAACATTGGGGGCGTCGCCAACCAGGACGGGAACATTTAGACAACCGCTCTTACATTAAGTCCTGTTATTCTGCACCGCCAAACCAACCGGGGATTAGCGAGCAAATGTTCTCCTCTTTCTTCTCTCCTCTCCTTCTCACCTTGCTTTAATCCATCCACCCTAAGACTAATCCTTTTGAACATTCGGCAAAGAGCGAGGACAGTGGCAACATGATCAATTACTCACTTTCATCTCCCGTCTCAGTCTGCGACATCATGCAAACATCGGTACAAGCACACATTCATTCAGTTTATACTGCGCTTCCTGCTTTCCCTGCTGTTCCTTTTCAAATTGTGCCAACATTTTTTGTTGTTGTTGTTTTTTTGTCATCAATAGCACTTTACAATTCTGCAGCTCTCCTAAAAAAAATAAAAATAAAAATCACCTGCCTGTGTATGCTGACTATAAAGGAGCTTCTGTTTTCTCTCAAAGAAAAAGAGAAAAATCCATTCAAAGTTTGTGTTATCTAACTAGTGAAAAGGCTGCATACCTCCAACCTGTTTGTCATGTTTATGTTGAATAAAAAGCACACACACACACACGCACCGATTTGTCACTTCAGATTCTCTTCAGCAACAAGCTCTCCCGAACTCTTTGCACATTCGCTCATTATCCCATCTACTCAAGGTTGGGCTTCATGGAAGAATGGCGAGGATTCAGCGCTCCTTAGTTAATTCCTCTGCTGTGCTGCCACAGCCAGACCCTTTTCTTGCATTGTTTCTCTGTGGCCTACATAATGGCCAGTGTTCTGTTGAAAAGGATCCTGTGGGGGGACTCTAATAACCCAGATAGATAGTGCTGTTACATTTGTTTCACAAAGTACTCTGTCTTTGCCTGCCAGCGCCCAGGTGCCCAACTCATAGCATTCACAACACTTCCTCTGCCATGTAAATTTAATCTATCACCCGGAGTGGAGGTTGAAACACAGGAGGAACGGCTGAAAAGGCAGATAGGCTTTTGCCAGAAATCCCCTAAAGAGTGCAGCTACATGCCTTGTCATTTCTACGCCGCCGTGATTATTCATGTTTCGAGGCGCGGCTCTCAAAGATCAGGTACGTAAATGTTTTTGCGGGCTCTTGGATCATCTGTCTCGGATCAAACGTCACTCGGGCGAAATATCATATTGATAATAAATGGCTTCCTGTTGTCTGTGGACGCATTCTGTGTAGCAGACTATGAAATGCATTATGCTTATGTCACACACCAACTCTTCAGGCTTTTACCTCCTTTGCAATTTTTTTTTTTTTTTTTTTCAGCTTGAAGAAGAAAAAACAGCGACAAGAGACATCCGATATCTTCAACCACCGGCCTGCCCAGTCATATTGTCAAAGCACAACGGAAAACAAGACACAGATAATAAAAGGTTAAAACTGGTGTTTAAGGCTATCCTGTCATTTGAAGATAACTTTTTATTGGAATATGTCGCTGGCTTCTGAGCAGCTGTGGGATTTTATTGCCCTGGAGCTTTGAAGCCGAAAAGTGCACACGTTTTTATCTCCAGCTGACATTTTTGTGCCGTCAATACTCTTTCAGATTTGGTAGATTGGAAATTTATTAGAACGTCTGACTTTAGGTGACATGAACCGAAGCAGATGAGAACCGTCCATTGATCGCAGAGCAGCCTGTAGTATTTTTAATGTGAAAAACTGAGCGCCTTATTGAATGTTGGGTAAAATCAGCGTCGTCTTGTTGCACTGGAGGATGACGTCGCAGTTTGTGTGTGTGATGTTGCTTGCAGAGCACTAGAAGCCATTTTTGTTGTCATTTTTCTCCTACTTCTTAAGTTTTAATAACGCATCAAGTTAGCAAACGTAACATTATTGGTCATCTAGAAAGTAAACAAACATTTCCCCTCGTTCAAATATGTAGCAGTGAAATACTTTAAATGAGCCTTTTTTTTAGAGTTTTAAAATGTAAATGATTGTTTTAATTTTTATTTTTTAGCTTCTTCCTATTTTCATTTTAGTAGGTACCATGTGCTTTACAAGTGTATTATTTTTGACATTTGGCCTTTTTTTTATTAATTATGATAATAATTGTGAAATTTCATAAAGAATTAGATTGTAATTATTAAATAATTTTTATTTGATTGTACATAAGATTATTTTTGTGTCTGAACTTTTACACCTGGTTACACCTGAATTTCCCCCATTGCGGGACAATAAAGGTTGTTTTAAAAATATTTTAAACTTAATATTATGAAAAGTGACAGATATGACCCCTAAAGAAACTTCCTTCTGATTAATATCACTAATTGGAGTAAAAAATAAATAAATAAATTACTGAAACAAAGTTTCACGGAAAATAGTTATAAATTATTCGATTTTTGAGTGAGTCAAAGAAAATATGTCCGTCATTAATGAAGGAAAACTTCTAGAGTACGAAATAGTGAAGGAGAAAAAACATTGACTGGACACTTTGGTCAAAAACTACCCCATCATCTAACTTGTGAGTTCTTTTTGATTTATCATTAAAAACAAAATAAAAAGACATTTAAATTTATGTTCATGCTTCAGCTCTTCTTCAAAAAGGTTGCTGAGGTTTTTGTCTCTTTTTACAGAGCAGTTTAAAAATTCAAAGCCACATTTCGCTTCAGTAATGAAATGGGGTTTGCAGAACTAGCAGCAGCTCAGGCACATTGCTGATCCCTGACAGGACAGTTTAGAAACTGTTCAAATCAGCCGCAGTGGTTTGATCAAATTTACATGCACTTCATTAATGTGCATTCATTGAACCAGCGGCCTAGTCAAAGCTCAGACCTCAATCCCACATAGAATTTACATCAGGACTTGAAAGTTGCTGTTCAGAGCCAATCCGGAGATGTGCAAACCTGACAGAGACTGTGATTGTGGCCAAAGGTGCATCTAGTTACTGACATGAAAGGAACGGATATCTTAAGCAATCATTAATTTTATATTTTAATCTAATTTCCCTTTTTGTAGGAATCAGTTTTACGTTGACAATGATTTTATTTTTGTATTTTTTTTCTGTCAGTTTGTCATTTTCATGCATGCCCTAAATTTAAACAAAAGTATTGTTAAGACACTTAATAATACCTTAAGCAAATCAAACAACTCTTGATTGATAAGTTTTCCAAATTTATTGCAAAGGCACATCAACCTTCACAACGGTGATATGTTATTCCTCTGCAGAAGTTTATTTACGGGCTTTGAAATCTAAAACTAGTTCACGGACACATCCTGTTGTTGATTTTGGATGCCTATGAAAAAGAAGCCGTGTCCACCGCTATAACAGTATGGCCAGAGATGAGAGAGCGCACGTCAAGGTTGTCTCTAGTGTACAATTACAAGACCACAGGGCCTCTTCTGCTGTGGCAGATCAGAGGAGGTGACCCGATAGACCCGCAAATTGACACTAAGCATCAAACATCTCCCAAAAATATTTAAATGAGGGTTTAATTAACAGACTAATGCATGAAACTGAATGTAACAGCCATGAAATAAGATGTCGACCAGGAAAAGGAGCAGATTTACTCGTAAATAAGAAAAACTAAGATATGGACAGTTGCATCAGACGAAAGATTGAACACCAAAGCAGATCACATAAATCCATGTAGAGCCCTTGAGATAAAATGTGTCTGATTTAGTAAACACACCGAGTATGTTTTCAAGGCATCCCACAGCCATTACTGAACAGATGAAGCTGGATTTTTCTCTCTCTTTTTTTCCCTCTCTCTTTTCTTTTTTTGTTACTTCACTGCAAGCAGTGTGTGAAAATGATGAAACTCTGGGGGCTTTGTCTGGGCTGGCATGACAGATGACTCTGTCGTGAAAATAGGGCATTGTCCCGCGCTATCATTTATTATGAGTGCTGGCCAGGTTTGATGGAGGGAGTCAGGCAGGCGGGAGCACAGATCATTCATCCGGAATGAGGAGGTGTTTGTCGGTGGAGGTCTGCGCCTTCACCGGTGGAAGAGGCCTTCCAACAGTGTGAAGATGGCCCGTTTTCAAAAGACTGCGGCTTACCCAGGTCGACGGTGAGGAGAACACCAACCAAGGACTCACCATGGAAAACCTTGTTGAATACAGCCTCTAGCGTAAAGAAAAGCTCAGCGTTTCAATATGAATAAATGTGTAATAATGGAACGTCTCCACTTGTCGTTGCAGACCAAAACGGTTCCCAAACTTAACTTTTCTTCATCTTTTTCTCTGTTTGCTATTTGGACCAGCATGTGGAAATCGGTGAGGTGGGGCTCAGATTTATAGTTGGTTGAACTGATCTGCCTCGGGGAAATGTTAGCTAACCGAATGAGTGAAACAGGGTAAAGGGCTCTATCTTGGTGTCACCTGGAGCTTCGCTTTGCTAATATATCCAACTATCTTTTAACATACCTCAGAGGAAGAATGTGTTTGGGAGTTTGCTCTGCTTATCATCAGTCAGATTTTCCACTGAAGGTACGGGCTGAGTATTTGCAAATTTTAGCAAGTAATCTTCCTGAGCTCACAGTAATGTTTCTGCACAAAAAGGGAAAAAAAAAAAAACAACCCCCCCCCCCCAAAAAAAAACGGGAACATTTTTATTTTTTTAGCCAATTCATTACTTTATAATGCCACATGGTTAATGTGGAAATTTCTCGTTCAATAATCCAGTAATTCTTATATGCAGTGTTTTGTTAAATTATTTATACTCCTTGAACATTTTTTTTTGTTTTGGATTTTTATCAAATTATAACTGCAAGAGGCAATGCCTTTAGGGGATTTAATGTTATAAACCAACACAAAGTAGTGGGTTACTGTGAAATGGAAGGACAATACAATCTTTTAATTTTTTTATAACTCAAATGTACGTCCATCCTTTGCTGATTTCCTTTTACTGCTGCTACTGGCGCAGGTCTCTACAGATTTTGCGCATTAATTGTCTGATTTCTTTGCCCCTTGTCCAAAATAGGCTCAAATGGTCAGGGTGGGGACCATTTGGGGAGGAATTTTCAAGTTTTGTCACAGATTATTAGATTTGAGTATATTCAAACGTATGCTCAAACGTAAATATTTTCATCTGAACCAGGCAACAGAAGCTCAGGCTGGATCGTTGTCCTGCTGGAAGGTGAACCTGAAGGCCCAATCTCAAGACTTTTGTAGCCTCTCACAAAATTTTCTATCAATTAGCTCACTCTAACCATCTTTTTCCTCTCTTCTTCACAGCATGATGCTGCCACCATCCTGTTTTACAGTGGAGATGTTGTGCAGTGTTAGTTTTCTGCCATGTATAATGTTCTGCATGTAGGCCCAAAAGTTCATTTTAAGTCATATCTGACCAGAGCACCTCTATCCAAAACTTCACTGTGCTCTGTTTGTGCTGGGCTGTTACAAAAAAAAA